CTGCATGTTTTGCGAGAAAAATCACGTATTGCAAGAGTGTCACAAGATCAGAGAAAAACCACACAACGACAGAGTGGACTTCTTGAAGAAAAATGGACTCTGCTTTGGCTACTTAGTAAAGGGTCAACTGAGCAGAGAATGTAAGAAGAAAATGACATGTGAGGTGTGCTCTCTTACGCATCCAAGCCTGCTGCACTTTTCAAGTCAGTACAAGGGTGCTAAAGAAGTTAATGAAAGCAACACGGCCAGTGTATCAGTAAATGTTCCTGAGGAGCAAGAGACAAGTGCTTGTACTGGGGCTGGAGACAGTTGTGCGCTTGCCATCGTGCCTGTTAGAGTGAAAGCCAGCAAGAGCAACAAAGCTGTTGAGGTTTATGCATTCATGGACCCTGGCAGCTCTGCTTCATTCTGCACCGAAGCTTTGGCCAGGCAATTGAGGCAGGCTAACTGAGCTCATGTTGAGCACCATCAATGCCAAAGCCAGAGTAGAGAGCTACATTCTCACAGGTTTGGAAGTAAGCAGCCTTGAAGACAACAATTTCATCCCACTGTCCAAAGTTTTCACACAGAAAGACATTCCTGTATCCAGAGAGAACATCCCACTTCAAAAAGAGATTGAAAAGTGGCCATACCTCAATGAGGTAAGATTGCCTCATATCAATGCTGGAGTGGAACTTCTTATTGGGACCAAAGAATACGCTCCTGGGAGTTTTACTTACTCAAAAACGTTCTGAGGGCAGAATGAAAGTTGATTGGTTCAGAGAAATAACCAATCAAATCGTAGAGGAGGCGGGTCTAAAGAAACAGAGGGGGCGGGACCAAGAAACTGAACATTAGGGGGTAGTTTCAAAAAAATGTTTCGGCAGCAGTATTGGTGAAGCGATCCGGCGCACAAAAAAAGAATTTTGGAAGATTTTTCACTGCACTTATTCCAAAGGTAAGATTTATTTGGTTAACAGGATTCACTTTGATAAACTAGTTTGAGGCAATGAGCATGTTGTTATTCTTTTGCTAAGAGCTGGTTAGCATTAGCTTAAAAAGCTAACGATGAAAATGCTTATAAAATGATGATTGCATGTGATGGATTACTTATGTTTGCGTATTTTATAACCACTTATGCTGCCGCACGTTACTTTTGAAATGCAGAGTAAGCTGTCTAAAAGGAGATTTTTGAGGTCAGGTTTGGTATTTTAACTGGCTATTTTTCTACATTAATATAATCTCTTATTAGTGGTGTAGGGTTCTGAAGGTCCCAGGGAAGGAAGACTGTGTTGCAAGCAGTAGTTAGTATTAGTAATGTAGGTGTAGGAATTATTAGCTCAGGTAAT